CAAATGGCTGTTTAGCTGAGACCAGAGGGGTGGAATCAGTACTTCTGGAATTGCGGCCTAACTGAAAGAAATAGTCTGATGTAGGAATGGACCCGAAAAAGTGAGCGTTAGCATGCAACAACAACAACTTGCAATTATATAGTGCCCTCCACACAGGGTAACATCAGAGTGTTTAACAGTGGCGGAGCCTGACTCCGAGTCGGGTGGTGGTACTTCATTACTTCTCTGACCCCACGGTTGCAGGCACCTGGGCTAACACTTCCACACCACTTCTATGCTTCAATGGTTCTGCCCAGCTCAGTCCCACAATATTCACAACCTGCATTAACAGCCACCCATGTGGTTAGACCATAAGGTGCCTTTGTTGTGTCCTCTGAGCAGCACGATCTCCTTGTGCTGCTGTCCAGGGTATAAATGGCATATTGGGGCTTGGTCATGCCTTTTATACAAACAAAATTACATTTGTATAGGGCCTTTCACCTAGGGAGGGCTGCCCAGTATGTTATTTGGCACAGATCCCACTTCCTCCCTGGAATAATACAAAGTCCCACCTAAGCCTCTTTCCACACTGCCAATTTTCAGAGTCCATTACAGTATTTTCAAAACGAAACCAGAATGATCCTGGAGTTTAGGTACAGATCATCCATGATCTTATAGCATGGTGAAACAGGCTTGAGAAGCTAAATGGCCTACTCCTGTTCCTGTGTATTTCTGTGAACCTACATCATAGCTTCTCTACCCCAGGCAGAAGCATCACTGATGAAATTAGTGTTAGTATTTTTTAAACCGTGTGGTGCAGTTTGGCAAATAACTTAGTAGTAGTGATAATCATCCTCACGTGATCTGCTTTTTAAAGTTGAACATCTGAAAGTCTGAAGTGTAGTGACTGTGTACTTGTGTACGATTTTGTTTTTATACGAATGAAATTGTTAAGTGGGAGTCAGTAATTCGAGGTCGAAAAGGACGCATTTTTTAGCAAACAATAATTTTCTCTTGTACTGTCTATCTGTTGACCTGAAACCCAATGTGAATGTGTGGAATAAAGTGAAAGGGCTTGATGTCTTCACTCGGGTGCAAGTACCTATTTGAGTAACTTGTAGATTGGGATTCTAGGTACTTCAGCACTTGGAGAGGTTTGTGTTCATGGATGTAAATGTGTTGGTATGTTCAGTAGCTTTTTTTTAATATATATAATATATGGTTTGGGTGATGACATAATGAAAGGTAAGGGTGATGGTGAGGTTGAGCTGCAGAAGCCTCCCGCCAGAAACCACCTTGAAGGGGATATAGATTTGTACCATTTCAATTTGAATGCAGACTGGGCAAATCGATTCCGAATCGGCTCAAGAATGGCTTCTTAAAATGTCTTGAATACTCCAATGAAAAGACGATGAACTTTGTAAAGGACTCTTGATGCAGTATTATAGCCAGTCCATTGACATTAAAAAACTGAAACTTGTGCAGTTTTGTATCTGCTCCGAGCTGTCATCAGCCTTGAACAATGTGTTTAGGGCCTGAAGTGCAAATCTGTTTTCCTGTTCCTAATTGCTTTGTTAATGGGACTTATATCACTCACTTGAAACAGTAAATACTTGGCATAAATCTCTGTGCATGTAAGCATGTTAACCTGGTCCTATGGCTGTGTCAGTATCTCAGCCTCAGGGATGAAGCTGCCTCCAGTTTGCTTTCTTTTTTATGGAGCGCATGATGGATGTGATTGGGAGTGTTGTGCCTGCGGGCTCCTGCTGCATCACTGGTTGGCGCCTAGCACATTGGCCGAGCTATATGCTGTAGTCTGCAATAATCTTCTCTCAGTAGCCATTTTGACTTGGTTTTACATTCTCTGAAGGTTATGGATTCAAGCTTTACGTCAGGATAGTTGGTGGCCATAGATTGTGCATGGATGACTCATGCCAAACTGGTCAACAAAATAAATCAAAATGTTGTTTATACAGTTGTATCATAAGATTTTTTTTCATCCAAGAAAGAAATGTCCACTTCTGATGCTTGCTGTGGGTTTTGGGTGTTGTTTTATCAAGAATGCAAACAAGCTTTGCAAAACATGTTTGAACATTGAGTGGGATAGGATAGTAAGTTTAAAAATACAAAATCTGGCAGGATAATATCCTTTGAAAATAGGTATACAACATTGTATTTCACATCCCCCTGACTGTGTGGGGAATTGTGGGCATGGAACCATTGCTCCTCGAGTGAGGCACCGCCTGAGCCTGTGACCCTCAATTGTTTTTTTTAAAAAACTGCTTTAGAAATGTTTAACTTTCCTATTGTTTCTCTCTCAGCTCCCAGCAACCAGTAGAGTCACATCTGTGGGCTCTCTCTCCTTGTTAAAGCTGTGGCTCGTGTGCATGTTATTCCACCCCATTTTATCTTGTTCCCAGTGGTTTGGATTGCTCATGTGCTATAAATATAACAGTGTATTTGCTTCACCGCTGTTTATATCGATCACTGCCCCTGTGCCCCACTCCCGGTCATGATGCAAAATCAATGTTTCCCACAATGATACTGTCCACAATCAGCGATGAGTGGCTGCCTGTGCATTAATGCGAAGATTTATCTCTTAAGTTCATCGGTCTCATTAAAACATGGTGCCTGTCTGAAGTGATATTTGCAAGCTCCAAATCTTGTTTGGTGAATTGCAGTCGATTATTTTGTTTCTCTTGACATTTGAAACATTGCACTGGTATGTTCTCAATTCATTGCTGGTCATTTACAAACAAGAGCGATCCATAAAGCTACGGAGATGAATACTCTGCTGTGAAACTCGTGTAGGACCCCCGATTCCCATTGACTATTCCATTTTCTGGTCAGTATGAAAGTGGTTTTTCTGCTGAATCCCACCCACTACCTCCCCAGAGTCTCCATTCCCTGCAACTTCCTTGTTTTTCCTTTGTACCTCTGGGACTATTTATGTTTTCTGTCACTTTGGCCACACTGAAAACTCTTGAGTATTCTGACCTTTCTGCTGTTCAGGGGACCCTAAGGGACACGGTTAATTAAGCAACTTTTCTACAATTTCACTTTAGTAACTGTTGGTATTTGCAAACCAGAAATGTCCAAATTTAATCCTGTGACCGATATCTTCATCAAGATATTGTTCAAATTTAAGTGCTCTGGAATTCTACCATGTGTGATGGCTGCTATATAAATATAATAATAATCCTTGCATTTGATATAACGCTTTTCACGTCGGGAGGACGTCCCAAAGCGCTTCACAGAACACACTGTAAAGTGAATTGACTGTATATTTGTGGGCGAACGCGGCAGCCAATTGCGCACAGCAATGTCCCACAAACAGTCGTAGATTGAAAATGACCAATTTATTATTGTTTTTGGTTTTGGAGGGATTATTATTAGGCTCTGTGTGGAGTAAGGAAACTTGCCCAAGGTTTCGCCCTCTGCCTGGGATTGAACTCAGGTCTCTCACTTGCAAAGCGAGTGCTCTAACCTCTGAGCTACAGGACTCCACGAAATATAAGTTGTTGTTGTTAAATCTCAGATATAAAAGTACAAAGTTAATGCAGGTAATTTGAGGCTTTAAGTGCAACCTATCTCAGTACTATGCAAGTATGTTGTCCCTCAGTACACATGTTTGTTTTGTCAACTTTCTTCTCTTCCTCTCTTCCCCACCCCCCCCGCTTTTTCTCCTTTCCCAAGTACCTTGTCCAAGTGTTGATCCTCCATATTACAAACCTGAATGGTGAGTCTTCATAGAGATCACAACCGTCCCTGATCATGTCATTGCCCGACATCCACTCACACATGCTTTCCAGCTGGGGGAATTATTGGATAGTGGGAATCCTGGCTTATCGTCACAAACCCAGGGACTCTGAGATCAATTAAGTCAGCTGAGTCTGTATAACTTAGTGCTTCACCAAGCAATAACTTCATCCACTGTACCTCTGGGAAGCCCTAGTGCTTGTATATTTATATTCTTGCATAGCTTTGCCATCTACATGTATAGCAAACATTCCTGTCTCCTTGCAACAACTTTGCAACCGTGCAGTCAATCCTTACCACATTCCTGCTTTATAATTAAGACTCCGTCAGTTAATTTTACATTTTTTCATTGGTGAGCATGATAACGGTCGATCATCTCTAATTAGTTATAATCGTGCCTTTGTAGCGTGCCTTTGTAGCGCTCGCTTTTTAGTGACGTGGCTTTAACAGCCAACAACTAACCCTCTATTTTCATATATTTCTATAGTCAGGTTAGATCTTAGTCTCTTTCAAAAGATGGAAAGTGTTACAAGCAAACATAGACTCTTTCCAATTAAACCAAAAATACATTTACAGAACAGAGCAATTAAATCAAGATTGATGAAGCAATATACCGAGCACTGACTAGCAAAACCAAGAAATCTTAGGAAAATAATAATCCAGGCCTTGGTATAGTAAGTATGATATTGTAAAGTGCTTTGAGGTATTTCAAGGAATTGCTGGCATGTAGTCAATGTGCATTTGTGGGCAAATATGCCCACTGGAAATATGCCCATTGGATCCCAATGACCAATTTAACTGAAGATTGCTGGAAAAAAACCTTCTCTTTCTGAACAGTGTCATGGGTTCGTTACATCCACTTAAACCCTGGTTTAATGCCTCATCTGAAGGATGACTCCTCTGGCAATACAACACTCCTCTCCCCCCCCCCCCCCAGTGCTACCCTGGAACGTCAGCCTACATTGTGAGGTCTTGTGCTGACATGGCACTTGTACCCCATCTGGCTCAGAGGCTAGACTGACTCAATCCTATGACTGACCAGATCAAATGAGATGAGTTTGAGTGTAGGATTCTTGAAGATAGTAGAACTTATAGCTTGCACAGTCACCTCTGGAGGTTTCTAAGCGGCGACTGTTTCTGTTATTCCAAAAGCTACTGGAGGACATTAAAATTGAGCTTCCTTATTGTAAAATGACCATATTACTATTCACTTTTCATTCTTATTTTGAAGTGTTTAAACACTTTTGTTTTCTTCTTTTCAGCTGGTCAGTGAAAAGGTGGGCGGTGCAGAAGGAACCAAACTAGATGAAGACTTCAAAGACATGGAACGGGTAGGTGAATTGATGGGTTTATCACCCTGACCATGACTGCTTTTCTCCACCTCCGCTCAAATCACTCACCCCCACCCCAGTTTCACGCCAAATACTGCAAAAATCCGTATTTACACCTTTGTTACATCTCATCTGGACTCTCAAACTCCACCATCCATAAACTCCCAACTTATCCCAAACTGCAGCCTATATCCTCACCTGCATCAAACTGTGTACCTCCCATCATCCCAGGTGCTCACTAAGCTCCACTAGCTGCCATCAGATTGATTTCAAGGTCCTCACCTATAAATCCCTTCACAACCTAGCATCTCTCTCTCTCTCTCTCTAATCTTCTACCCTAGTCATTTCCTTTCCCTAGACTCGCTGCAAGTTCCCTGTCCCCTTTGCACCACCATTGGTGGCCGAGCCTTCAGTTTCGAGGCCCCTAAACTCAGAAATCCTTTCTTCTATCCTTCCATCTCGCTACCTCTCACTCCAAGTCCCATCTTAAAACTTATCTTTTTGACCGGGCCTATGATCACCTCCCCCTTTTCCTTGCCCCTGCTCAGTGTCCAGCCTGCATCTCTGTGAATTATTCTGAGATGCTACATGACGGGCATTATATAAATTGGTGGTGTTTGTCTATTTCATATCCTTAGCTGTGCGCAATGGGAACCCAACTACTGTACATCTTTTATTGTAATAGAATTAATCATAATCCGAATTAAAGGATCCTTCATCAGAACTGAAACAAAAGGAGTGGAAGAAGTTCATATATAAACTACATCAAACTGGGCTACTAACAGACTTGGATATTTACCAAATTCATTTAATATTATCAAGATTGCAAGGACATTTTTAGCTGCTTTTGCACAGTCCTGTCAGTTGGTGTAGCTTTAATAGTTTTTAAAGTGGTTTACAGCTCAGAGAAACATTGGTGGATGTGCTAAGAGCCTAAGGAAATCAGAATGTTTTTTCTTGGATTTTGGAGACTTCCTTAGTTCTACATAGCCTGATGGTAACTATAAATCTCTCTGTTTTAGGAAATAGACTATATTACCATAGATTAGGATACACAAAGACACTGATTGTGGTTATATTATTTACAATGCCTGAACTCTCACCCGTCCCAAGTCTTACAGGAAATGTTAAGGCCATATCAGATTTTTTTTTACCCTTCATAATAACCCAGACTCAAAGCTAATCCACAGATGGAGTCATTGTACTGAATCCACAAAGTGTACCATTTTCCTCCCAGACACGATGCTTTCTGACTAAACTGCCTAAAGCTCAATTATCTGCAGGAGAAAGAGAAACTGCTTGGTTTGTCCCTACTTGAAATGCAGAGCTCTGTAGATGATTGAAATAGAAGGTACTGTAGTTAAGACACCCGTGGCTTCTTGGCGGGGAGCGAATACATGATATGCAATGGTATTGATGCAAAAAACACATGGTCTTGCTATACAACCACCATCTCTAACTAAGATTGCTAAGGGACCAGCAATTTGCACAGCATGTTTGGGAAAATTGAACAACATAGCTGCAAAATGTACAGCGTAAATGCAATTCATTACAGACACTAAAAAAGCATCGCAACTGATAATTCTTGCACTGAACTGTTGAAAACTTCTACATATCCTTAGCATAGCAGGACTCTGTGAGTAAGTAAGTCTTACAGAACACATCAGAACTTAGTGATTGTTATTTTAACATAATTTAATGTTGCAAACAGTAAGTTGAACTTTCTCCTTTCACCAGGGCATAGCTAAATAATGGCAATATTTTGTGAACAACTGATTGAGCAATTGAAATCTAACTGGCAAGATTTTTACATCAATTTTAATCTGAAGTTCCTTACATCAAGGGGAAGTGGCTACCAGTCAGTGTAGATTAAGTGGAGCAACAATGTGTAGAACTGATCCATTGAAAAAGTTACTATTAGTGCCATCTGCTGGATATTTAACATTCAATATCATGAGTTCCCAACAGGGCCTACCTAACACTTGTCTTAAAATAAAGGTCTATTCACTCACCTGGCAAATTGTTCCAAACCACAACAATAAATTATATTTACACAGTGCCTTTCACGTCGGGGTCATGTCCCAAGGCGCTGACAGTCAGGGATTTGCACCCGAGCTGAGGATTGGGGTCAGGAGGTGTAGAAGGCAGGAAGGGTTATGGGTAGGAGGGTGGCCAAAGGCTTGGTTGAAGAGTAGGGTCTTAAGACGGGCCTTGAAGGAGGCAAGGTGTGGGGGGGCATACCTGTATCACAAGAAATATTTTGAATATTTGTTCCAAGCTTTCACCATTTTTAATGTACATCCTCTGATCACCATTTGATTTATTGACAACTTATTGATGCACATTGAACCAAGGTGAGATTACTGTTAATTGTGTTGCTTGGTTTCAGAAAGTGGATATCACCAGCAAAGCTGTGATGGATGTGTTGACCAAAACCACAGAGTACTTGCAACCCAACCCAGGTAAAAGAGAGTGCCAGGAGCCTGAGACAGGAAATGTTGATTTCTAAATGAACTGTACACTTCTGGTGTATTTGCTTTGTAATGTGCTGCTAGGCTGTAGCATTGGAAACTCACAATGATGCAGGCAGAGTTGTATTAGCCACTACCTTGTTTCAAGCCTTTGTCACATCAAAACTTCTCAAAAGAACTTCACATAATGAGAAATGTTCCCAACATGGCACTCGCTACAATTCAAATTATTTAATCAGTAGCTGGCTGAGCTACACATCTCAACTTTGATTCTCGTCCTGTGCTCAGTTTGCTAATCTCTGCACGGATGTGAATATGGACACTACAATCGCTCTCAGTGCTCAAGGTTAGGAAATTAAACCAGGGTTTCTGCTCTTGGTCGATGTCTGGTGTGCATGTGGTTTTCAGCCTCTTCTTCAGGCCCACCACGGTCAAACCTGCTGTCTGAACTCTGAAAAACAGTGGTCACCACCACCACAAATATATATATAGAGAGCACCCTCATGCTGATTAGCATCCCAGAGCAATTGACAATGGCCGAGCACGAATCGGACCAGGGGAAAGGGTGCATATGCACTGTCGAAGAGGAAGGACTATACTTTAAAACATGTTGGCGACTTTGGCAAACGATTGCTGATGACTGGTGAGGAGGCCAAAGCCAGTGAGCACAAGTCATGTGTGAAGAGCAGGAAAATATATTTTCTGTGCAGCACTTAGATCTTCGGGTTGTGACATAGCTAAGGAAACATCTTTGTGTTACAGTCATGTATAGGAATGTGAGTAATAACTTCCAGCTGTGCATTGTATGCATTTGGTGGTTTTACTGCTGCATTTAAAGAGAATGAAACGACTAGAAAACAACACAGCCATTTTACAAACTGTTCCATGTCGAGTGAAAATGATTTTGACCGAGTTCAAATCCCCCTGACAGAGAACGTACCCACAACCTTCTGCCCCTGACTGCACAATGGATCTGAAGGATTTGCTACTGGGAATTGTGGCAATCCATGCTGCCAGATTCAGAAAAATAAAATACTGAAACAGCATAACCACCAAATTACGTGGGAATAGCACCTTTCACATTTAGAGGACATCCCAAGGTGCTGGACAGTCAGGGATTTGGACCCGAGCTGGAGGTTGGGATCAGGAAGAGTGGAGGACAGGGAGGTTGGGTGTAGGAGGGTGACCGAAGGCACGGTCTTGAGAAGGGCCTTGAAGGAAAGAAGGAAGGGAGCGAAGCTGATGGATTGGACTGGAGTTCCAAACCACACAATTATCAAGAATTCAGGAAAATAAGCTTTTGCTATCACAATGAATCCTCTTGTTTAGTGCACTCTGGGGACCTGTCTCTTCAGCTTCTAGTCTATTTGTGTAACAAAGAAACACACCATAAGTTCCAGAATAGCTGCATTAGTTTAATGGGGATGGGTGCTTTGAAATGACCTGGGAGCCTTATCTGGAGTTGCCAATTGCTTGCAAAAGAGTACCGTTGCATTACTTGCTGGTGCTGTGATTTTCCAGGGTCGATCAGGATACGCTATCGCTTTGCATCCAGGATTATAATCCGGAACAGAAGGCGCAATAGCAATGAGAACTCGCATTTCATTTGGAATATAATCTACTTGTACAATGGCAACAACAACAAAATTACATTTGTAAAGCGCCTTTCATGTGGGCCTACGCATGAAACCGACCACCTGCTCTCTTGACCCCATCCCTACTCCTCTCCTTACCTCCCAGCTCCACCTCCTTGTCTCTCTACTCACTGACATCATAAACCTCTCCCTGTCCTCTGGTACTGTTCCCACCCCAATAAAAACCGCCGTCATCACTCCTATACTTCCAACCAGTAAGAACCATGTCATCAGTTATGTTGCTTGTGTGCCGAAAATTCATTGGTGCGGACTGATTGATCAAGCAACTAAGCCTTGGCTATTACCTTGGCTCAGTTGGTAACAATCTTGCTTCTGGGTCTGAAGGTTGTGGGTATGTTCTCTGTCAGGGGGATTTGAGCTCATAATCTAGGCTGGCATTCTAACGTAGTGTTTAGAATCACAACATTATTGAAGGTGCCGTCCTTCATATGGGATGTTAAGTTGAGTTCTTAACTGCTTACTCAGACTATCTTCCTATGGGGGAAGAAAGTAAGTGGTGTCTCCTCGGAGTTGAGAGGGCACCTAAGTGACATGTTGCCAACAGAATATTGGAGTTGAATCATCAGTGGTGGTCTCGGTAATCTAGTTCCTGAGCCAGGGAGCAACGATTAGGGTGGTCCTAGTTGGACAAGCAGTCAGAAGTTTGCTCAAATGGTCGTTAAAGAACTAACACAATTCAAAAATCGAAGAGAGTTCTCCCAGGATCCTGACCAACAGAGTCTCCAGTTAAATTGGTCATTCTGGCTGTTTGTGGGGCATTGCTTGTTCTTGTGCCTACAAAGGCCTAGTCCCTACGTTTAACCTTCATTCCTGTGAAGTGCTTTGAGGTGTTTAACTTGATGCGGTGTGTGGACATTCAGTGTTAATTGTGTTAATTGTACCTCACACTGCCAAGACTCACACATGAATAATGGTGATGACGAGCTACATAGAATTGCATAGACTGTACAGCAGTAAAACAGGCCTTTTGGTCCAATTAGTCCATGCCAGTGTTTACAAGAGCCTCCACCCCTAATCAATCCCCTCTTCCTATTCTCTCTCTCACACACCCACTTTTCCCAGTAAAATCATAGAATTATACCACACAGGAGGAGGCCATTCGGCCCATTGTGGCTGTGCCGGCTCTTTGAAAAGAGCTATCCAAATCAATCCCACTCCCCCGCTCTCTCCCCATAGCCCTGCAAACTTGTCCTCCCCAAATAATTATATAATGAAAAAGAAAGCCATTGGTGTCAGGAGAGAAGGGGAGAGGAAAAACTAATCAGATGAAGAATATTGGCTGTTTTCAGAATATACTATTAATAAATAATTGCTGTTGCACCACAAAGCCCTGCATGTGATTTGTGACGTGGCATTTCCCTCATACTGTCAACAGATGAGAACCAGGTTTGTGTTCTCCAAGGGGCAGAAAGCAAAGGCAGAACTCTAGGAGTTTCAGGATGAATTTCCTCTGCAGCTTTTAAAATTCATTTCCTGATGGAACGAACGTCTGTTAAGCATTTCAATAAATTCTTGAATTCCGAATCTTGCAGCTAATAAAAATCAGTACCAAATCGGAGCTGTGACAAAGTACATTGTTTTATTGATCCACAAAAATAAATCCCAAGGATTAAACTAGGTACTAGTGCAAGTTTAAGCAGGGCCTCTAAAATTTTCTTGGCTAACAACCGTTTTTTTCTGCACCACTTCATTGTGGCTGTTAGCCAATGCCGTAAGCGAGTGTTTCTCACCCTTCAAAAAGTAAAATGTGATTTTAGAAAGAAAAAGTTTATTGGGTTATTTAATATTTGATAATGACCTATATATATTATATATTATATGTATTATATATATATATATGCTGAGGCTAAAAGAGCAAAGAAAATAATTGTGCTGTGAAAAATGTGACTGTCGTAAGTAATGGGTGCAGCTATGCAATGGCTTTGCAATTGTTCTGATTTGAGTTACTGACCAAAGCGCCCAGGCTTTGGGGAATACAGAGCTGGCCCTGATGACGTGTGAGGTTTCGTGGTGAATCTTGTTTCTCTGCTGATGGTACCAGGGCATCGCAGCTGATGTGGCTTTTAAGTGGTAAAATTCAAGCTGAATTCAATAGATTGTTTGGTATAATTATTAACTCGCGAATGGAATTTTAAAAACTTCTGCAAAAGCGTTCCAGCTGTCTTTAACTATAGTACGGTAGTTTCAAAATCACCCAATGGATCACAATTGAGAAACTGATTCTGTTTGCATTGATTTATAGAGACTGTATAATGTACAGAAACCCGCCATTCAATTCATGCCAGTGTTTATACTCCACGTGAGTCTGTTTGAGACTTAACTGTTGGTGCTGCTAGTATGGTGGGGGTGCAGATTAAATTTGAAATGTGTTCATGGTTGATTATTCTGGAGTTTTAGCTTGATTTGATGGGTGTTCAGGAGCTTTCTGCAAGGAGATAGCCCATTATCGATTAGATGAACGTTATGATTTCATGTACAACAAAGAAAACACAAGGACTTTATGATGTCTTCAGTTTACAGGCCGTGAACATGTCTCTGTATTAGCGATACTCATGTAATCTTGTGAAGGTTCTTGTGAAATGAGGTGTTTGGAAGAAAATAGTTTTTTCTGATTAATTATTTTGAATTGTATGGGTAACAAATTACAATTCAATTTGGTAGACTATTGCAATGTCTTTAATTTTCATAAAGACAATTGTTACAGTATTGAATACGGTATTTGCGAGCTGATGGCAGCTAACATAACATGTATGAGCAGGAGTAGGCTACTCGACCCTTCGAGCGTGCCCCGCCATTCAATCATGGAATTTGTCAGCTATTTGTCAGTCTTTGTTTTGGCATGGACGTCTGTAATCTTGTGCATCTTCTGTGGCTTTTTCTATGGGGAAAACTAATCGATTCTGTCTTCATACAGCATCCAGAGCAAAACTCACAATGCTGAACACAATGTCAAAGATTCGAGGGCAAGTGAAGAATCCAGGCTACCCTCAACCGGAAGGGCTTCTCGGAGAATCCATGAACAAATTTGGACGGGATTTGGGTGAAGAATCAAACTTCGGTAAGTGAAGTATCATTGCCTGGAAATCATTTTATCCATCCAACAGAAGCCAAGGGAGAGAAAGACGTATTGGTTCTTATCTTGAGCAAGGAGAAAACATCGCAAGGAAAGAAGCTTGACGTTTTTTTAAAAAAATGTGAACATTTATTACTTGATTCTGATACTCAACAATAAGACTCTGAAAGGGGCCTTGAGACAGTTATACAGTAAAACACACATAAGTCTGATCTATATAAATCATAATTGCCTAAGTCATACATGTGGAGTCCTGTAGCTCAGTGGTTAGAACGAGTGTTCCAGGCAGGGCGAAATCTCGGCCAAGTTTTCTTATTCCACACACCTAATAATAATCCCTCCAAAACAAAAAAAACAATAATAATAAATTGGTCATTTTCAATCCACGACTGTTTATGGGAAGCTGCCGTGCGCAATTGGCTGCGTTTCGTCCACAAATATACGGTCAATTAACTTTACAGCATATTCTGTGAAGTGCTTTGAGACGTCTAGAAGATGTGAAAAGCACTATATCAAATGCAAGGATTATTATTATTATCTTCCCAAGTCCCATTCAAGAGTTTATATTCTCTGCAAATTTGGCAATTACTTATACTTTGCAGAAGTCATATTAAATGTACAGTCCTCACCTTCAAAGACCTCTGCGTCCTTGCTCCTCCCTAGCTCTGCGATCTCCTCACCCCTTACCCCCTACCAACCTCCCTCTGCTCAGTAGGTTCTGGCCTGCCTCACGTCCCCCACCTTGCATGCCCACCATTGGCGGTGAGCCTTCAGCCCCTCTGCCCCCCCTCTGGAACTCCATGGCGCAATCTCTACGCCTCGCCTCTCCCTTGCCTCCTTGAAGACCCATCTCTTTGACCAAGCCTTCGGTCATCCTCCTACCCCTACCCTCCCCGTTCTCCACCCCCTCCTGATCCCAACCACCAGCTCTGTGCAGATTCCTCACTGTCCAGCACTTTGGGACGTCCTCCTGTCATGGAAGGCGCTAAACATTTATAATTTGTTGTTTTTGTTGTATAGTCCCAACTTATATGACGTGTGTGGGGTTTACTGTACTTTGTGAAATTGTTCCTTTGTAAAATTAATTTTATTGTCAATTTTATTCATGTCCTTGCCTTTCCATCATCCTTTTTATCCACATCCCCAGGGAAGGGAGTGTTAGACTTGGCTCTTCTTAAATTAGTCACAACCTTGGCACCAATAATAATAATAATAATAATAATAATCCTTGCATTTGATATAGCGCTTTTCACGTCAGGAGGACGTCCCAAAGCGCTTCACAGAACACACTGTAAAGTGAATTGACTGTATATTTGTGGGCAAACGCGGCAGCCAATTGCGCACAGCAATGTCCCACAAACAGTCATGGATTGAAAATGACCAATTTATTATTGTTTTTGGTTTTTTGGAGGATTATTATTAGGCTCTGTGTGGAGTAAGGAAACTTGCCCAAGGTTTCGCCCTCTGCCTGGAATTGAACTCAGGTCTCTCGCTTGCAAAGCGAGTGCTCTAACCACTGAGCCACAGGACTCCGAATACTCATGATTATCTGTGTTTTGTGCCAACTATTTTTGAAGATGCCCTTTTCCTGGCCAGGCAGAGCTGCAGTTACATGTCTCTGGTTGTGATGTGGTCCAGGTGAGTATTGGCATTGCAGTGCTGTGTAAACTGAGTCCATTTTTATCTTTTCATTCTGTCTGATTGAAGGAGGAGCGCTCATCGACGTTGGTGAATCAATGAAGAGGATGGCAGAGGTGAAGGACTCTCTGGACATTGAAGTCAAACAGAACTTTATTGATCCATTACAGAGTCTATGTGATAAAGATTTGAAAGAAATACAGGTAATTTATTGGGAAAGGGCGACTTATATATAAAAACACATTGCGCTGGTGATTCTCCTGCTTGTTCTGCGTGTCCTGACAAACAATGCAGATATCATTCATAAGAACATAAGAAATGCTAGACGAAAAAAGACCAAGGTCCATCTAGTTTGCCTTCCACCTTCTGGGCGGTCGCATGACTGCTGTTTGAGAGAACTTGCTCAGCACAAATTGCCTGCAACGTTTGTCAATTTTTTCTATTAAAAAAAGTATTGCATTTGATAATAAGTGTTGTGTGTTAATCTGACGCAATGGTAGCACTCTTGCCTTTGAGTCAGAAAGGTGTGGGTTCAAGCCCCATGTCAGGATTTGGAATCACATTGTCTAAGCTGACACTTCAGTGCAGTGCTAGGTGTATTGTGTTGTACGATGTACCGCCTTTGGATGAGATATTAAACCGAGATCCCTGGTGCCTGTTCAGGTGGATGTTTTTTTTCCTGGTGTCCTAGTTAATAATCCCTCAAATAAAATGAGTCACTCAATCCCATGGCTGTTTGTAGGGCATTGCTGTGGTTAACTGGCAGCCACATTTTGCCCACAAAATACAGTCACTCCACTTTACAGTATATCCTGTAAAGCACTTTGAGATGTCTCAACAACATGATATGGTGCCATATCATATGGAAGCATTACTATTTTTATTATTATTAGCAATGCTCTGCATTGATTTAGAAGTCTGCATGGTACGAATTAAAGCTCTAAACTATTTATCTTGACTTTGGATTGTCAGCACCACCTGAAGAAGCTGGAGGGCAGGCGCTTGGATTACGACTACAAGAAGAAACGGCAGGGCAAGATCCCTGAGGAGGAGATCAGACAAGCCATGGAGAAGTTTGACGAGTCCAAAGAAGTGGCTGAGACCAGCATGTACAACCTTTTAGAAACTGACGTAAGGAGCTTTGCAACTCCGTCTGCTCTGCCCTGCTCTGGGGTTACTTTTCACAGATCCACATTACACTGCGTTCTTTGCAGTAACCAGTAATATCTGATCAAACATCATTGCTGTCTCCACGCATTTCTTTACTCTTTCCCATATCATTCTATATTTTCATCTCCCTCATGTGAAGGTCTAACTTCCTCTTAGATGCATCTCCACCTTCTGATTCAACCAACTATCACTTCAGGCAGTGAGTTCCACACACTCACTACCCTTTGTGTGAGGTAGTTTTTCTTAAATTCTCTTTTTGATCCCCTGTCTCTGTCTTACATTTGTCCTGGCTACGAACTTCCTGGTATCTTCCTCGTAAACATACAAAAATTAGATCAAACTGGCTAACTCAATAAGTTGTGCACAGAACTTGGGACCAGAGGTTCTAATCCTACTTGTGTCTGTTCAGTGCTTCTCCATTTCAAGGTTGATGAAATGTGTAGTATGTCTTCACGCATTTCATATAAAGAAACTGAGCAGACTGAAGGATCATTGTAATGATCAATGAGGCTTTGGGAAATTTAGATATACACTCAACCTTGCTTGCCAAAGCCATGAGAGGTTCATTGCAGGACATGGACATCAGACCTTTGTATTGGTAAAGTGCAGGAAATTCCTTTTTACTGAGGTTTAACCTCATAATGATAGGATGAGCCTGTTTATACTATTGGCGAGTACTGGACTTCTCAATTCTTTTGAATTGCCGGCACTGAAACTCTGCTGAGATTCTGAGCCCTCCAACTGGCAAATAAGTATTTTACAGTTAGAATAAAGCAGAGTAACCTATTTTATGAGGAATGAACCTGTCAATGACTTTCGTGTTCTAGAATCTGGGTGTGCAATAACCTGAACTAAGCTTAACTCGGAGCAATTGTTTGCAGATCGAGCAAGTGAGTCAAATGTCAGCCCTGGTGGAGGCCCAACTTGATTACCACAGACAAGCGGTACAGATACTGGATGAGCTCTCAGACAAACTAAAGGAGAGGTAAGAAACACTCTCTTACTCCACTCAGTTGAGGAGACCCTGCATATAGCAAACACCTGTGTGTCACACTAAATCATTGTGCGCGGCACTCTGTCTAGGACAGTGTTTTAAAACATCGAAACAGGCAGGAGAATGAGCTTAAAGTCAAATTATACAGCGCAGGAGGAGGCCATTCGCCCATCGTGTCTGTGCCGGCTCTTTTAAAAGAGCTTCCAAATCAATCCCACTCCTCCGCGCTCTCCCCATAGCCCTGCAAAACTGGTCCTGCCCAACATAGTAGGAAAGACAGTTGGTATTGATGACTGGGTTGCGTTTAAAAGCAAGGAGGTCTGTTTGTTGTGCGAGTTTCTCAGTAGCAGAAATGAGCAGTTATACAAGCAGTTCATACCAAACTTCAACAGAGAGAGCAAATAGATGTTGTAGTTAGCTGGTAAAGCTGCAGCTGAGAGAACCTTAGAAATCTGCAGCACAGCAGGAGGCTATTCTCCGCATTGTATTAGTGTCAGTGTTAGGTTCACCAATAAATAAAAAGAGAAGGGAGTTTCCTTCTTTTGGGTGTCCTGGCTAATCCCCCAAATAAAATTGATCACTTACTCCATGGATATTTGTGAGATATTGCTATGGGTAATTGTCTGCAGTGTTTCGCTCACAAAATACAGACACTTGACAGTATATCCTGTGAAGTGGACTGACATGCGCTTATCTGGAGATGATAAATAAATGTAGATATCGTAGCTAACCAGTATTATAATAATAATAATCCTTGCATTTGATATAGCGCTTTTCATGTCTTCTAGACGTCTCAAAGCACTTCACAGAATATACTGTAAAATGAATTGACCGTATATTTGTGGGCGAAACGCAGCGCACAGCAGCATCCCACAAACAGTCGTGGATTGAGTGTCCAAATTGTTATTGGTTTTTTTTTCTTGAGGGATTATTATCAGGGGTTTAGAATAAGGAATTATTAAAAATAATTAAAAATAAAGAACAGTATTAGTTCCTCCAGGTGGCTCTAATCATCTCCCACCCACATTCTGCCACTCACCGTGAATCACTGTGCCACTTACCAGCGCCTTGGGACGTCCTCCCGATGTGAAAGGCGCTATACAGATGTAATATTTTTGTTGCTGCTTTTGTTCAGATTTCTCCAAGCCATTCACTCAAGGAAGAATGGGCTGGAAGGGGTTAATTGAAATTCACGTCAGACTAGATTAGTTGTTTTGTCTCAAACCCAGGCAAATTGGGACCTGCAATAATGGGACAATTGCCCTGAATTTAGACCTGGACCTTACTATTTATTCTTTGGGGTTTTTTGGAAGTGCTGATTTCTTTTTTGTTTCAGTCCTATACTTTCTGCGAGTTTCTCGGAATGCATTCTTTTCACCGTCTGTGGTCTGTATCCTTGGAAACTGCTCCTGTAAATGTTGATTTGGCGGAAACACTTCCTGGCGATGGGTTGGTTGTTGGCCAAAAAAGGTTCTTTTGAAAAACAAGTGTGTGGTGGTGTGAGTTGAGGGGGTGAGAAGGGGACATTTGCTCAGAGCTGGTGCCTCTGGTTAATGAATAACCCTTCAAAGTTGAGTGACTTTAGCCTTTGACAGAACTTGTAAGTACTTTCCACGGCTGCCCCACTGTGAGCCTGCCACATACCAGCTTCTCGATGGGAATCTTATCTCCCACTGCTCCAAAGGGATCTAGTTTGAAATGAAATGTTTTGTTTCCCTTCCCCCCACCGCACACATGCTTGTTTGTCTCCTGCCTTCTTTCCCCTCTCCCCCTTTTGTCAGTGTGAAATCAATTCTAGAGGCAAAGCACCACTTTTTTTCATATGAATAGCATGAATCCTGACGTTATCAAAGATAACACTGTAAGCTACATGTCTTTGGAGTGTTAGTCATATCTGCAAAGCTCCATATTTCCAGTTTTTTGCTGATCTTCCTGCTGTAGAGGAGAATCGAGTGTGCTTTAATATAAAAAGCTTGAGCAAGATTTAGGTAAAAGTGAAACTATGAAAAGCTCAGTTTAAGGAGAAAATAACAATCATCCATGTATTTGATATAGAGCTTTTTACGTCAGGAGGACGTCTCAAATGGTGGTGACTTTTATAGTTAAACGCCTGCAAGCCTGTCTCATAATTGGCACGGTCAAGATGGGAGAAATTGTAAAAACTCACAAACCATCACTGCTCAGTTGGTAGGAAGTTGTTTATGTGCAGCCAAGACTTAAAAACTGTCTGAAACCTCTGGATTTTATTTTTGACTCCTAACCACCAGCAACCTTAATTTGTTGCAGATGTCTCAGCCTAGGAGTCAGTGAGTCATTTTCATATGTGAAGTATATTTTCAAAAACCCTTCATGAACTAGTTAAGACTGCGGAGTCTGTTTGGGATATGATCACAGTCTGGACCACAGGGAGAAGCGTTAGTGACTGGAGAGTGTTTAAATTTTAGTTTTCATTTTGAAACCAAACAGAAACACAAGGAAAACAACAATTTTTTTAAAAAAAATCCATGACTGTTTGTGGGATGCTGCTCTGTACTATTAGCTGCCGCGTTTTGCCCACAAAATACACAGTCAATCTACTTTGCAATGTATTCTTTGAAGCACTTTGAGATGTCTGAACAAAGTGATAAGGCGCTATATCAAATGCAAGAGGATATAATTATTATTATTGAGAGTATTCTGCTCAATTGTCATCCTGCCCACTGTCGAAAAATAAGGCCTAGTTGGGTCAAAGAACCGTTTCTGTTCCGTTCTATGTGACTCCCTTGTACTGTTTAGTTTTTCTGCTCTTTCCTCTGGACTTCAAGCTTCCAGAGCTGAGCTCCACAAAGTAAACGGGTTGATTCAGTGTATTGAAAGTTCCTGTTCAACTATTGTGAACTAGGAAAGGATTAATAAGTGCTTTGAGTTGCTGCCCCGCGCATTAGGGTGTTATATAAATGTAAAAGGCAAAACACTGAAATAAAAACAGAAGTCGCAGGGAACACTCAGGAGGTTAGCAGGTCAGGCAGCATCAATGGAGAGAGGTTAACATTTCAGGCCGATGACATTTTGTCTGACGAAAGGACATCGGCCTGAAACGTTAATGGTATATAAATTCAAGTGGTTGTTGTTGTTTGTTGCTGTTAATCCTGCGTCCTTTCTTGTGTTAACTCTTTGTTTGCAGGATACAAGATGCTTCCGGTCGTCCCAGGCGTGAATATCAGCCCAAACCTAGAAGTAGTTATTCCGATTACGGAGATACAGACCATTCTAATGGTGGCTTCTCTTACAGCGGACCAACAAAAACACAAGGTGAGAGATAGGTTCTGTTAGTCTGAGCTGGGCTGGGCTCCTGTATGTCCATTGGTCTTAGGACACATAGAACACAGGAGGAGGCCATTCAGCCCATCAAACCTGTTTTACCAGTTTGTTAACTCTCGACAAATAATAATTCCTGCATTTGTTATATCGCTTTCATGTCAGGGCGTCTGAAAATGCTTCACAGGATTTAGTGTAAAGTGCAGTGACTGTATTTCTTAGGCGAATACAACAGCCAGTTTCCATAGAGCAATGTCCCACAAATAGCTATGAAGTGAATGGCCAATTTTATCCAGGGAATTGTGGGCTAAGACACTGGGAGTAACTCCCTTCTCTTTCCAAATAGCCCCACAGAATATTTTACATTCACCTGAACAGGCAGACGGGATCTTAGTTTAATGTCTTATGGAAAGAATTATAACTCCACACTGCACTCTCCTGGCATTCAGTTAGAGTGTGAGCCCAGACTGTGATCTCAAAGGCCTGAAGTGGGACTTGAACCCACAAGCTTCTAACCTAGAGGTGACAGTGCTACCAACTGAGCCAGGCTGACACTCGGGTGACACTGATTCTACCCAATGTACTGTTCGAAGGTTCACATGTATGGATGTTAATAATAATATTATTATGTGTGGATGTTGGTTAAGTGGAGGGGACAGGAGTAAATCGGTGAGGAACAAAAGCCCACTATCTTCTGAGACTGATTGTTCATTGTGCTCAGCAGGAATGTGCTGGGCCTCCTGTTGCTCTGCAACCAGCAATGCACCAAGATTATCTTTTCCGTTTTTATTATGGTGAAGAATTTGATAATATCTGGATCGTTACTGAACAGGATGTACCAATTGTGAAAACTGGACTGAAATGAAGGGGGGAAATGACGGTTTTATTTTGGTCAGTCGGGTGCTTGACACATTTGGAAACCCATCGCCATACATAAAGAGTATCCAAACCCCATATGTATCCCTCTTACACACAGAAAATTCCCTGTGTCTGGCATGTGCACTCTCTGCATGGAGGGACTTACCTTGCTTACTAATCCTGGAAAGTATGAGGCACAGGTTAGGAGAGCTGAGGCTTGAGGACCCTCCAGTGGGTTACTGCTGGGAGTTCAATCAGCTAAAGCTACGCAGCTTTGCCATTGAGAGCACAGTCTGGCAAGATTCTCCCTGATTGTCCAGCTAGGGCCACTACTACTACCCCTTAGGGATTTGGCTTTGCAGAGTTAAAAGATATTGTGCTCTGAAATGCTAGGCATCCGAATAGTTCAGGAAGTAGCCAACTGAGACCGAGAGGGTTGATTTGATTCTTGGGTGCCATTGTCAAGGACCCTGATTGCCTCTCCCCCCCCCACCCCCAAACCACCCTTAGATGAGCTGTTCTGATTGTGGTATGAAGTCGTACCAGAAAATTTAGTTGAGACCACATGTGATCCAGCTGGCAGGCTGTCGGGCTTAATATATGGACTAGATTAGTTTACCAGATTGCTACCACCTCTTCCTTCAGAAGTATTCTCTTTCGAGAGGGGATAAGAGAGAGAGAGCAAGTGAGACAGACGAGGGTCAGACTGAGGAGAGCGAAGCTTTGTTCTATGTGTAAAAGGCTGACTGCACATGTGAGTGTTATTTATCAGTTGTTGCGTGATCAGGCCTTTTCTCACCAAACTCTGTAATGTTTAGCACCAAGCTGTATCTGGTGAGGAGTAGATTTACTTACTGCCTGGTCTATTTATTGTACCTCAACCCAGTGAAAAATATCCCTCCCTCCCATCTGTGTGGAATCCTGCAGTGTAGTGGTTAGAACACTCGCCTCGCAAGTGAGAGGACCCGGGTTTCATTCATAGGTGGGGCAAAACCTTACTCCACATGCCTCTGTTTACCTAACAGTAAGTCGGAACCTGGTTGTTAGTCGATTGGCGGATTGCTTTCCAGAGGTAATTATCCCTGCCAAAAAAAATTTATAATTTGGTCACTCAATCCACGACTGTTTGTAGGACCTGCTGTGTGCAATTGGCTGTTGCGTTTTGCCCATATAATATGCAGTCAATTCGCTAGCATATATTCTGTGAAGCGGTTTGCGATGTCTGGACAACTTGATAAGGCTATGTCAAATACAAGCATTGTTATTATCTACGTGATCCATGATATCCTCAATTTGACCGTCAAATCCCTCCAGTCCCACTCTTCTGCCATACCCTCCGTTCTGCAAACTCATGCCTGCTGCCCGGGCGAATGGTGATGGCACACATGCAGTGCATGCCAATGTCTGTATACATGGACTGCATGTTTTGACTGCAACCAGACATTCAGCGGGCATACAGAGATGGATCTACATCCATGCACTGTTAAGCATCTCCTTCACATAAGTGACAGCAGTGCCTGTGGGTATGAACGCTAAACTACTGCTGCTGTTGTTCGTATCTGGTGCAGAGCAGAAAGAACAAATGCTGAACATAAATTATTCAGGGACTTGGGATACCTCTGTAATATCTCAAATGAATGCACAGCTGCCTTTGTTCTATGTAATGGCTTGTACCTGGTCCAGCTCTTCCCTGAATTTCCCCTACACTTCGAATCTCTTTCTGTGAGTTAAAATTGGTTTCAAAAGCAAGTGTCATCTCTTATTTGATGTTATTTGATCATTTGTCTGTAATTCAATTTTGATTAGTTTCCCTGACTGTTCTGATTGACTGACATAATAATACTAATAATAATAATAGACGTCTTAAAGCACTTCACAGAACAGACTAAAGTGAATTGGACTGTATATTTGCGGGCAAAACGCATATAAATGAATATGGAGGGCAAGCTTCCATTAACTGTTGGGCTTTTGTATGAGGGGGAGGGACAGAGAAATTAATTCATCATAGTTTTTATTTTTAAGACGAGATCTGGTTTGTAAAGATCAATAGATTTGTGAAGTTTGAAAGCTTCCTGGTATCCTGGCCAACAATGCCCTCAATAAAAATTGGTTAATTCTATGGCCGTTTATGGGACATTGCTATGTACAAACTGGCTGCTGAGTTTTGCCTACAAAATACAGTCAAAACTACTTTACAGTATATCCTGCAAAGCGCTTTGAGAAATCTCAATGATGATAATTGTATTTGATATAGTGCCTTATCACGTCTTCCAGGCATCTCAAGGTGCTTTGGTGAGAAGCGATGCGAGAAGGCTCTATATCAAGTGCAAAGATTATTATTAAAGCTGTGCAAAAACTACATGGGACGCCGCCAAAGGAAGAGACTAATGTCTGGATGAAAGGACAGACTCGTGGCGATGTGATAGTTGAATGTACTGCATTGTTTGTTTATTATATTTTGGAATTAGGAAGGCTCTACATAAAACTACCCCCAGAAGGTAGACTGGGTAACCTGAGGGCAGGATAGGAGAGGTTTTGTGTGGATGTTGAGGAAGTGGGCTTGATGGACCAGGTAGACTTCTTGTTCCATGCGTCCTTCTGTCCTGCCACATTTCAATGGAGGTTACAATTGCCACTTGTATAGGCCTTCTCTGTCCGGAGGACGTCCCAAAGCGCTTAGTCTATCAACTTAATGAGAGAGAAGAAAAAGGGGAATGAATAATCCACAGGGAATAGTGCAGTCTGACAGTCAATGAAGACCGCAGCCTTAGTCACCCTATTGGAGGAGAAAACTCATTAGGTTTTTGGGGGGAGAAAGAAAATGATTAGATTTAGATCCAGTTTGATTAGTATGAATGGTTTATCCTTGAGCTGCACTTCAGTCCCATTTAATACATTACATTGAACTCTTATTTTCTGTTGTGCTCCAAAACAGCTTCGTTCCGCTCAGAAAAGCCACGGACGGCATCGGCTGGGTCTCCTCGTGAGTAGTGGGCCCAAGCGCCTGATCTGTTTCCCGCTTCTCCAGGGCTGCAGGGCCTGTCGTGTTTGAGCGCCGATCGATGCTTGTCCTATGAATCGTAAAAAAAACTCTGAAAATAATGACAACGAGCTGTTAACAGTCATTCCTGAGTGTGGGGCTGTGTGGCTGGTTTTGTTCCTCCCACGTGAGAGGCAGATACTTTAATGTTTGAAGTTTTTTGGTGGTGATTCACGCGCGGTTGGCGGCATCTTTAGCAGCAGCACAGCACCACCCACTGGCACAACACAACATTGTCTCCTTTCCAGATCTCAGGCTTGAGATCTCAGCACCACAATAAGCTTTGCGCCTCACATCGTGGAGTCCTGTAGCTCAGTGGTTAGAGCACTCGCTTTGCAAGTGAGAGACCTGAGTTCAATTCCAGGCAGAGGGCGAAACCTTGGGCAAGTTTCCTTACTCCACACAGAGCCTAATAATAATCCCTCCAAAACCAAAAACAATAATAAATTGGTCATTTTCAATCTACGACTGTTTGTGGGACATTGCTGTGCGCAATTGGCTGCCGCGTTCGCCCACAAATATACAGTCAATTCACTTTACAGTATATTCTGTGAAGCACTTTGGGACGTCCTCCCGACGTGAAAAGCGCTATATCAAATGCAAGGATTATTATTATTATTATCGTTAAACATCTCAAAACCCTTCACAGAGACAAACTGGAAACCAGGTCAGGTAGGAAGTAGGAGGGGAGATGACCGAATGCGCGGTAAAAGAGGATTTCTTTTATAACCAAAATGCAAAATACTGCAGGTGCAGGAAATTTGAAAACAGAAACAGAAGGCGCCGGGAACACTCAGCAGGTCAGGCAGCATCGATGGAGAAAGCAAAGTGAGTCAACGTTTTGGGTCCATGGAAGGGTCGTGGACCTGAAATGTTGACTCACTTTCCTTTCTCCATAGATGCTGCCTGACCTGCTGAGCATTCACAGCGACTTCTGTCTTTGTTTTCAGGTTTTCTTTTTATGAAGGGTGTTGGAAGTTTTCTGCTAGTGTTTTATTTCAGCAGGGAAGCTAATTTTGTTGATGGCTAAATGATCAGTATTGGTTTACGTTCCAAACAAATCGCAAGCGAGCCTGCAACAGTCACTCCAGCACTCCGTGCTCTAAATTTAGAGCAGGTTTTTGATGGAAGTTTTGTTTGGACTTGTGTACGAATGGAGGTGCCGAGGGCTAATTGGCTGTCAGTCAAATGGATTTGCTGCATAGCTTGCAATTCTTGGTGCGCGAATATCGGCTGATCCCGAAAAGTGGCAAAGACTGAAAATTGGTCTGCCACAGTACGGTGCTCTCGCACAATGCTACAGTTTACAGAAGCTGCAGATTAGTCCCCCATGATGACTTCCAATGATCCCCGAAGCTAACTGCTGCTCTACTGGCATATTAACAGCATGCAATTGTCACAGAAGAAAGAAAACTGTTGTGAGTTACAGTCCGCAGCACAGATGTTACTTCCAAGTATTTCACTGTTCAGATTAATTTTGATTCAACAGGAAGTTCCTGCTGTAAGGAAAATCTTACATCTTTGAAGCCAGTGAGCGGAATGGGAATCTGAGGTAATATCAGACCCGTTATTAGGCTTTCCTTTGTGCAAGCTGTTGATTGAATTCTCTTGTGTTTTGTTCAAGCTCACCTCGATCAGCCGTGCTGCAAGGCGCTGTACGACTTTGAGCCAGAGAACGAGGGGGAACTTGGATTCAAGGAGGGGGATATCATCACACTGACCAACCAGATCGACGACAACTGGTATGAAGGAATGCTCCACGGCCAGTCGGGATTCTTCCCAGTCAATTATGTCGACGTCTTGGTCCCATTACCTCACTAAACGTGCTGAACTGGACACCGGAACTGATCCAAATGGAGGGATGCTTTTGAAACATTCCTTTAATTTAAGAACCCACGTCGTCCTCTGTTTGTTCCCACAGTACAGTGTTCCGTGGCATCCAATGCATCGTGTCATTTTGAATCGACAGGAAAAATGTGTTTGATTTTTTTTTCCCTGGGTTAATGTGAGGTCTGAAGTGCACCCGAGCTGCTCTGAATGTCCTCCAGCAGGTGTGTGAGAGGTCGGTGTTCAGGAGCACGGATCCTTTTCCTTAACGTTCTGGCTCGGGCTGACAGAAGCGTAAGAGCCGAATTAGACTTTTCTTTTTGATTCCCTCCTCTCCTCCTCCTCTCCTCTCGGGGGCTGCCTGCCTCGTGCTGGGAACAGTCGTAAGGGTGCTGGGCGCCCGTTGAAACCTGCCCAAGAGGCCGTTCTTTATCTGAGCCCAGACGCGGTCTGCAGGTTATCCAATAGCCGGGAAGGAGAGGGGGGGCATCGCAGCTGATTCTGTGAAAGTCGCAACCCTTGCGAACCTCACACTGTGGCTGATTCTGTCCTCGCCGCTGCAGTTTTTAGCAGTGATCACTGGAGATTGGGTTGGGAACAGGAACCAAACTGATTTTTAAAAAAAAAAGAAAAAAAAAATCCTCTTCTTTCCACTCCCTCCCACCTCCCCATCCCCCGAAAAAAAAACAGGCCGATAGTTGTCCCAAATGCTGCTCCAGCCAGGAACAACTAAACTCAGGCCAGGAACCTGAACTTGTGCTCTGTGTAATGTAGCTCTGACCCAGATTGTGGCTTTACCCGGTGAGCCATCGGAGTCAGAGGAGCACATCATTTGAAACACCAGCGTAGTAAGTGGTACCTAAGGAGGAATGGTGATGCTCCTGTTATTTAACTCGCTGAGAGCAGGCTGTGGGCATTGTATCAGACTGCTGCAGGCCAGCAGGACATGTCCATGGGGAGGTGAGAGCTGTGAGGACCTCAGCTTGGAGTAGCACAGGTCACCGCCAGAGTGCGGCGCAAATGGACAAATCGTTTCTTAGCAGTAAAGTGGGATGTGGGGAGTAAGGTGCTATTCTCCTTCCCCCTCTTTGCATTAAGTACTCCCTACAGCATTGGCCGTCAGTCATTTTTACCCCATGTCGAGAAAGGGTTTTTGCTCCTCTTTATTTCCTTTTTGAGGGGATTAAGGAAACCCTATCTGTCCAATGATTAGTGATGGGGAATAGCCTCAGACTTGAGGTGGTCAAAAATGTACCAGCGACTGCCTTAACACAGGGGCAAGTCCCCCTCTGTTCTCCTCGGCGGAGCCGTACCCTCGTAAGGAAGCTTCTCATTCTCAGTTCTGACCTAAATGCTCCTCTTCCTCATCCTTATCCCTCTCCAGCTCTGTTAATCAAGATGCATCTTTTCAACAAACCGTAAGTAACTCAAGTCTGGGTGTGTGACACTGCTACTTAGCTCGCTCTGAAATGGATCGGAACAGTAGCTTCTTAATTTCTCTTTCCTCATCCGCCACATCACAAGTTTCTTCAACCTCAAGCCCCCACCCGAAGGTGTTGACTCAAGCACTTTCCCATAGATGGACTTCCCTCTCCCGCCTCGCTCAGATATCCATTCTTTGCTTGTCCAAGAGTAGGGGCGGTTTGGAGGGGGCATTGCAGCCGAGCTAATTCCGTTCTGAATCAATGTGCTTTCCAGTCACTTCCAGCAGGGAATCTAGCATTGCAATTAAACCCCTTAGCCCCCACCTCTCTTTTTGCTTCCTTTTTCTCTCCTCCCCAAGCCCAGGAATCTGAGGCTGAATGTAAAGTCCAGTCAGTCCCTTGGCCGAGATTGGCTGTTTTTTTTTCTAATATTTTTCTTTGCAGCTGTAAAAGGCAGTGAGATCGTGGCTACGGAATATTGTTGCTAAAGTAATCAGTTGCAGGATTTAGATAAAAGCTAACAATACCTAATGGAAAACCCTATCATTTTTTTCACAGATTAAAGTTAATCATTTTGTCAAATTTAGAAAAATAAGTCCAGATTATTATTTAATTTGCTTTTCGTTCCCGAGACGCCAGAGAGTGGCGAATCCTGGACCGTAATAAAGGTTGGAATTTTTAATGCCATGAATTTGTTGCAGTTAACACGTGCTGTTTAAAGTGCTGTACGTGGCTCAGAGAATTTTTCAGTTGACTACAATTATGGAATCTTAATAACCAAATGGCAGTGTTATCTTTCCATCTGTCGACCGTTCAGAGAAGTTGGGTGGAGGGATGGGGTGGGAGGTGAAGTCAAGGTGGGCCTTTCTGATATGCCTTGTCTGCCATGATCCTGTCTCAGGGCTCCTGTTCTTGGCCGTGGGGCTGCTAATCTCCCTTTTACTTTCTGCGTCCCAGAGGGTGGGAGTTCTAACAAATTAAAATTTTGACACTTGCCTTCCCCTCCCCCCCCCCCCCCACATTCTCTCTGTAGGGCTTGCTGTCTGTATATGTGTGCGTCTGCCTCTGTGTATGTGTGCATCTGTCTCTGAGTATGTGTGAGTCTGTCTGTATCTTAACCTCTCTTCTATCTTTGTGTACGTATGCACGAGGAAGTTGGAGATATTTTCCCCCAGAATTCTTGATCTGTTCGAAAAATCCCCGGATGGTATCTGTTTGGCGATGCATTTCTGCACAAGTGTCTTTTTGTGCATCACACTGCATGGATAGGTCTCCCCCTATTTCCTTTTCTCCCTCTCTTGCTCTCTCTGAAACTGTGTGTACGAGTGTGTGTGTGTCTCACTTGATCTTTGTATCGTTCTTTGTTTGTGTCTGTGCGTGTGTGTGTGTGCGTGTGTTTGTTGTATCTGTGCATGAGTGCGTGTCTTTCTCTGTATCTTTCTCCGTGCATGTGTGTGTGTGTGCGTGACTGTCAGTCACTCTTTATCATCTGTGTGCACGACTCTTGCATTGGGCCACTCTCCTATATTCACGCGTAAGTAACTGGAATGGATTTGAAACTTTGTTTTGTTTTTGCCCGGCGCTCGAATAAGCCTCGACCTCGATACCTTTGGCCTGCACTCTGTCGTTTAACTGTCGTGAAAGTTTGAACCATTTCGTACCGATGTCTGCATTGACCTCGGAATGTGACAAATGATCCCAGTGTAAGACCTGCAGAAGTGTCCTCGGTTGGAGACTGGGCCACGGAACTCCCAGATTCACACTTAGTTCTTTGTAAACACTAATCACGACGTTCCACGTATATCAGTGTCGTACTTTTTTTTTATACCGTCACAGAGGGCTTTGTGAGAGTTAACAATCTGTGATCGTATCTGTACTAATGCTTTAAGAACCTGATCTATCTTTTGATAAAGATATAAAGTTATGGACTTGTAACTCAAAATATGTATCTTTTTTTACCGTTTAATCCTGCATGTAGTATGTATAGAACTATACACTGTAGTGTTTTTTTTTGTTAGGATTATGTAAAGAATAAACCAGCAGCAGGTGACTGGGCTTGGGTTTTGTCGAGGCAATTTGTCTGCATTTGTACTCTCCGTAACCATGTGTTTAATCCCAAAATCCGCTGCCCATATTCTCACCCCTACCAAGCGCTGCACTCACATCAACCCCAATCATTACCAGGCTCCACTGGCTCCCGACTGCAGAACTGGTCAGTTGCAAGATCCTCGCTCACACTGTTGTACAAATCATTTCATGGCCTAGCTCCCTCCTTTCCCTCTCCGACCTGCTGTCACCCTACTTGACTCTGACCTTCTACATGTCCCTCGTCCCCTCCGCTCCTCCATTGGCAGCTGTGCTTTCACCCACTATGTCCTGAAACTCTGGAACTCTGCCTCAATTCCTCTTGTCTGTCTTCAGATCACACCTGATGATGTTCCTCTTTAACAATGTCTGTGTCCCCTCCCTCCCCGGCTCAGTGTCAACTCCACATCAAGCGCTCTGAGATGCTACGCGCTTGAAGGGCAATCTATAAACGTATGTAAATGTTGCATGTTACACATTGCTTTTCAGACTTTCGAGGTCATCAAAATGTTTTAATTTGGTTGTCTTCAGTCATACTGTTGATCCAAAAATGGATGTTCTTCTGAACCAGTGGTTGAGACCCTAAGTTACAAGTCACCGAAGGATTTGTAACTAGTACATCTTGTGTCTGGAGGTTGTCGTAAGGAGACCACTTGTTCAGCTGCTGACCTCTAGCCGGGCATTGGGAAGCAAACCTCCTTTGTTCCCTTCCCAATGTCATCTTGATGGAGGTTGCAACTGAGATCAGCCTCTTTGGCCAGAGCAGATTAACCCACGGCTCAGTTGGTAGCACCTTTGCCTCTCTCAATCAAGGCCAATGTCCAGGACTTTGAGCAAGGCAAGTGTGAGTCTGGAGTTCGTATCCATAGCCGCCATTCCACTTGTAGTCCTGGAGGAAGTTATGTTGCTGGAGGCGCCATTCTTGGGCTGAAATGTTAAACTGAGGGTCCTGGCTGCCTGTTAAAGATCCCGTGGACTGTGTGAAAAGTAAAAGGAGTTTCTCCTGGTCTTCTAACCAACACTCCCTCAGATTTAAAAATATATTGGTCATTTTGTGGCTGTTTCAGCACAAGTCTGCTGCATTCGCTCACAAATTGCCACTGATTTATAGAAACATTCTGGGGGGTTGTTGGCCAGGACAGTGGGAGAAACTTGCTTCTCTTTCTAAATAGTGGTGTGGGATCTTGAACCCAGCTCAAAGGGACTTTGCTTTTAATGTCTCATCCAAAGGATGGCTCCTCAAACAGTGCAGCGCTTTCCACTAGCAATGAGCTGCACAGTCAGTCTTGACGATGAGTTCAAAGCCCCAATGTAGGGCTTGAACCTGCGCCCTTCTGACTCGAGATAGGAGTGTTACCAACTTCGCCAGGCTGACAAAAGATTTACTGTGAAGTGTAGTGACTATTTGTATTAATAGTTTGACACAAAATTTTCAAAACCTTTTTATTAACGAAAACTAAATTTACAAAAATTATACTTTGGAATAAAAAACAAATGTCTACATCTGGCTTTCTCTCCACAAGTTAATTGCAATTTAATGAAACAAAGGCTACAACTATTTACACATTGTTTTTATATTAAATCCATAGAGTCTTCAGGAACACGATAACCATAAGATAAAACCCCTTCTCAATTCAGGGCGGATAAGAGATGTGTTAACGAGAGTAACATGAGAGATTAGAAGTTGTCCTGCAATAGTGCACCGCTGTGGCCTTCAGTGCTGGTCACTCTCTGCTGTGCTGCGAGAGATCCAGCGAGAGAATGACTGAAACTCGGAGCTCACAGTGCGGGAATTCATCAAAGGAAATTGTCCTGTCTATGGTGCTGGGTTCCTGAAAGCACTCCCTGAACGACATTCCCTGGGATTGTCGCCCCCCCCCGCCCCCAGCCCCCAGCCAGCATTACTTAAATGCTGGCTGTGACACGCAAGAGCCGAAGAAACAGAAATGAACCATTAACTTGTAAAAAGGATTAGAAGAACCAGGTGGAGATTACGGTTTGGAGTCGGGGAGAGCAAACTACAATCCACGTAGTTGCCTGGGGGCAGGTTTTGTTTTCTTCTGTTGCGTTTTGTAGGGCTGCCGAATTGGAGCCCAAGAACACATCGACCAGCTCTCTACGAAGCTCCACCTCTGCCTCGGCAGTAACAGAGGCTCCGTGGATGTTTCAAATGGAACGATGCAAATCAATATCAGGAGGGAATAAAACTTTTTTTTGTTTCTTTCTCTCCCCTCCATTCAGGGAAATGTTTTTTTTTTACAAAATCTTAAGTTAATACATTCACAACACATCTCAGAGACCATGTTAGTGTTTGCTAAATATCTACTGGTGTTTGGGCTTGTGCACAAAACTCCCACTCTACTTCTGTCTCAAGGAACCTGTTTGACTTTTCTCTATGCTTTGAAAGTCGAGCCTGTTCTTCCCTACCCTAACCCTCCCTCCCCACCCACTTTTCTCTGAATCTTTTTGACGCAAAACACACAGAAAAGCTTACATGCACACCCACATGTTTGGAAATTTAGACTTATTGTTCTGAATTTAACTAGTGGGCACAGATTTGCTGAAGGTGAGAGATCTTTGATGTAATAGTAATAAAAATAGTAATTCTTGTATTTGATATAGAGCCAAATCACGATGCCGAGACGTCCCAGAATATATTGTAAAATGGATTGACTGTATTTGTGGGTAAAGGGTGGCAGCCAATTGCGCACAGCAGTGTCCCATAAACAGTCATGGATTGAACGACACAATTTTTTCTTGAGATTATTATCTCCAGAAAGCCATCTGCCAATCGACTAACACCCGTACATCAAAGTAAGGTTAGCCAGGGCTAACCAAGCAGATTACTTATATTACAGACTAGTGTTTTAGGCAACGGATCAGAAAGGCTGGCTCTGAACTTTATACAAAGCCACACAGTGTCCACATTGTAAGTAAACCATAAGAGGCAGACAGGTCTTACATTTTGATTCTAGTTTTTTTTAAATGAAAGGGCCTTTGTTGAAGCAAATGGTTGCCCAGTGTGGTTGGGGGCCATGTATTCACAGACAAGTGGGAGCTTTTTGGTGGCTCCTCTGGTAAAGCCGCCTCTGCCCAGTGTGAAGACCAGGGAAGGATTCTAGATCGGCCGCTGGTCTGGGCTGAGTTAGCAGATCTCACCAGACGTGAGACCGAGAGAGGACAGGTAAACAGGGACTGAAAGGATTGCTGTTGAAGGAGCCAATTCAGACCCAGGAGCTTGCAGGGACCGCTTGGGTTTTTTCTGACTAGATTCTCTAAAGATTCTCTAAAGTGCTTTAAAACATACTCAGAAATGACACAAACACATTAACTGGACTATAGACTATACAGAGCACAGCCTGTTAATCCCATCACACTCTGGGTGGTGGGGAAGTGGGGTGGGTGGTGGGAGGGAAAACAAAGTCACATCTTTAACTTCTTGTTTGGCATCTCCTCAAAGAATTACTGCGAGTGCTGGGGAGGGAGGGAGGATAAGGTTGACGCCAAAACAAAACCATCACAGTACAGTGTTGGCGAATAAAGCTGTTTTTGTACACAATGGTGATTGTAAAACGTTCGTTCACGTGAGCAGCCTCAGCTGCACGGGGCTTCAGGGCAGAGAACATGTCTCCAACTTGCACGGTCCTGTTGAGAAGCTGGAAAAGACTGGTTAACAGTTGGCTTGGGCTCTTAGTGCTGGATACAGAGAAGTGTTTTGACTGCTCACTGTCTCCCTTACACTGACATTTCTCCTCTCTCACCATTCCCCCCCCACTCCCCTCCCTGACAGAGACACTGTGATACAATATTGGGCAACAGCCCTCTGGCACCTCATCCCTGCTCGTCCGATTTCCCAATTCTTCCCCTCCACAACTCTGCAGATTGTTCAAACTCTGCAGCTCGCGCTCTCCTGCATTAAGCTCCATGGGCCCACCCTCTCCCGGCTTCACCGATACCCCATTCCCCACAGGATCGAGTTTAAGATCTTTGTCCTCACTGTTAGAGCCCTCCGTGGTCTTGCTCCTCCCTACCTCTGCGACCTACTAAAACTTTACCAAGCTGCCCATTCCCTCCGCTCAACGGACATTGGGCTGCTTCACGTTCCCCGCCCTGCTCACCATCGGTCCCCCCACCTCACCGCCCCAAAGACCCCAACCCCTCCCTCAATCCAGCTACCGAGGGTCACACAAAGATATGGGAACAGTTTTCAGCCCCTCCTGCACCCAGGGGATTGAAACTGTCATGGGAGATTATTATACAAAGGAAGAGGGTCAAATTTTAAATAAAGCACCAGGGGGGGGAAGGGAGGGGAATCCATTCTCCTTTCACCACTTTACTGTGTGTAAAGTCTGGTTGAACGTTTAATGCTCAGAATATCGGGTCGAAACTATTTCGCATTGTGGTTCCTAATGGACAACTTCCACTAATTGGAACCTGAGCCAAACTTTGCGTCCATTTCCTCAATAGTGTTCGAAAAGCAGAAAGTGGGCGAAGGAGGCAGGTGAGAGATTGGTGTGGGGGTGGGGGGGGGGGGAGAGAGAGGTTTGGTGTTTGTAAGTGTGTAAAGTCTGGTTGAAAATTTAGGGAACATTTTGGGGGGGTTGTGGAATGATCATATAAGGTGCAGGTCTTAATCTCTTCCAAATAGTTGTCCAAATGGTTGATCACCAACCAGCTCCTCTGTCGCTCGTTGTGCTCTCTGGGACGTAGAGAAGCGGGCGGGCGGGTGACTTAACTGTAGTTGTCCAACTGGTTATAAATGTGCTCCAGCACTTTAGCAAACATTTGGTCTTTCGGTGTCTTGGTGGCCAGCGATCCCTTCAAAAGACGCAAAAATATAATATAAACCCTGTGTTTGATATAACGCCTGTTTCAATGTTAGAACGGTAATCCTTGCTGTATCAAATGCAAGGAATATTACTGTAATAACATCTAAATGTTTCAGTTTTTCTGAAAAGTGTATTTATAGACACACACAGATGTCCCACAAACAGCCAATGAAGTGAACAATCAGGACACAGGGAGAAACTCCCTCCTCTTTTCAATCCTAACAAAATCTTTAACAATTTGCATTTACGCAGCCCCCTTCACGCGGGGCAGTGTCTCGGAGCGCTTAACAGTGACGGAACCTGACACAGAGCCGGGGGGAGGGAGGAGGTGACAGCAAGCACGGTTGACGAGGAAGGTCTCAAGTTGTTATCTAAAAGGAGGGCAGGAGGGAGTAATAATATAATAAACCTTGCATTTGATATACTGCTTTTCACATCTTCTATACGTCTCAAAGCGCTTCACAGGATATGCTGTAAAGTGAATTGACTGTATATTTGGGGAGTAATGCAGACATTCAGATAAGAGCCAGACAGGACCTCGGCTTAACCCTCAAAGGATGATGCCTCTAACAATGAGCTCTGGGGATCTCCTCTTGGGGTTTGATTATCAATAACAGAACGGACGTTAAACTTACTTTAACTTTGTCCAGGTAGGTTTTCTCCTCCTGCCATTTGTCCTTGAACTTCACCAGGTCTGGGGCTGCCTTGTAGTATTCCAGCAGCAACATCTGTAACCAGTCAGAGCTCAGCAACTCACAGAGACTTCGAGATGTGTAAATGTTCTCAAGTGTGTACGTGTGTGTACGTGTGTGTGTATGCGTCAGTGTCTGAAGGTGAGTGTGTGTGTGTGTCTGAGTATATATATGCGTTAGAGTATCTGAGTATTTTGGCGAGTGTGTGTGTGTGTATATATAATATATATGTCAGGTGAGTATGAATGTGTGTGTGTCAATGTGTGTATCGCAAGTGTCTTGAGTGTGAAATTGAGCGACTGTGTGTGCATAAGTGTGTATGTGACAGTGTATCCACTGCATGTGTGTGTGTGTGAGTGTCGTTCTGAATGTCTAGGTCTGTGTCCATGAATGCGTAAGTGTGTCTGAGCAGAGAGGGAGCGTGAGAGAGAGAGAGAAGAGCAATCTGTGCATTTACAGCCCCAACCCCCGTTGTTCTGGGTTGACTTTCTCAATCCCATGTAAAATCTTGCCCACGTCTATAAGGTCCCCTCTGAGACCTTAATATCCTTCAAGAATTGAAAGCCCCCAATCAGTTAACGTCTTGCGAGCACTCTGAGCCGTGTGCAGGCTGAGATGCGAGCCCACCCTGGATGATTATCAGACGCTGCAAAAGCTTTTCTCTTATCCCCGCAAATAAAGAGCGATTGTTGTTACCATTTCATGCAGGACATCTGGCGTCAGAAACGCGTCCTGCACAAAGGTCATCTCCACCTCCATCGGAATACCATAGTCATTCGATCGTTGCTGGAAACATCAACATAAAAAAACTAGCTCACTGGATAGCCCATTGCCTTCGACTCAGAAGAGTTGTGGGGTCAATCTCCCACCCCACCACACCCCCCCCCCCCACACACATGTACACATGGTCTAGGCTGACACTACAGGGCAGCGCTGGGGATTTACTGCATTCCAGAGGTTCTGTGCTTCAAATGAGATATTAAACCGAGGTCATCTCTATCTTTTCAGGTGGCCGTTGAAGATCCCATTGGGCACTAGTCAAAAAGAGAAGGCAGTCTCTCTCTCTCTCTCTCTCTCTCGCCCGGTATCCTGGTCAACAATCCATTAGCTTAAAAAAGGTTCCCCAGAATTGAAGACAGTTAGCAAATCAGCAAACAGGGAGGTTGGGTAAATGGTGCCAAGGAGCTGCTGTGTCCGTTTGGTACCTCACCTCACCGTTTCAGCTTTGCTGCTCTCCTCTCGATCATGGTGGCTCTGACCTCGTGTGTGAGGCTTCCACCTACCCACCCTCACTCACTCACCCACCCTCACTCACTTACCCACCCACACTCACTCACTTACCCACCCACACTCACTCAGCCACCCCACCCCACCCACACAGAGCGGGAGGGGTGGGGAAGACGAATCACTTACCTCTGGAGGGGGCATAACCCAAAAGGGAGAGATCTTAGATTCCACCTCGGCGTTGCCATGGTAATACGGTGCTTCAAAGGAAGAGAGAAAAGCAGTGAAGATACTTTGCAGTTTTGTCCTTATGAATGCAAATCACACGGGTCAGAGGGAGGGTTAAACCAGCCGGAGTCACTGCTCCTGGTCCCTACACATCGCCTCCTACTGGTTCTGTGTGTGTGCATGGCGAGTGGTGGGGGGGTGGGGGTGCAGCAGGTAGAGAGAGGTCAGGCTTGGCTGTGACACCTTCCATAGTCTGGCAAGGGGAAGGTCTTGAGATGGGCCTTGAAGGAGGTCAGGGAAGGGGCAAGGCAGAGGGGCTCTGGGATGGAGTTCCAGAGGGTGGGGGCAGAAAGGCTGAAGGTCTAATAGTGGAGCGGGCCAGTGCCCGCCGAGTGGAGGGAGCGGACGGGTTGGTAAGGGTTTAGCAAGTCGCGGAGTTAGGGAGGAGCAAGACAATGGTGGGCTTTAAAGGCGAGGACAAGGATCCTCCGGGGGATGGGGAGCCAGTGAAGTTGGGCGAGGATGGGGGTGATTGCCTCACAAAGAGTTTAGCGTGAGAAAGGACAGGAGCTGCAGAGTTCCAGATAATATGTGGCTTGTGGAGAGAAGAACTGGGAAGTCCAGCGAGCCGGGATTTATGGTCAAGCTGGGATGTAACGACCAAGTAACAAGTAATGTAGGAATTTGCTGGCGAAAGAAGCCTAAGTTCCATCCAGTTTGCCTTCCGTCGGCCTCGCCGTCGCTTATCACATCATGTGATGTCCCAAACTAAAGGCTGTATCTCGAGATATTATTTCCTAACAGAAATCTTATCTAATTTGTCCTTGAAAGTATCAACACTTTCTGCTTCCACTGTTTCCCTCAGGAGCCTGTTCCATAAGTTTGCCGCTCGCTCACTGAAGTAGTGTTTTGTTCTGAATTTACCCCCTTCGATCGCAGGCCGTGTCCTCTGGTTCTACTGCTCGGCACCAAATAAAAGCAGCAGCACTTACCACAGATGAGAGCCAGACATGGCTGGAAGCTGTTGGTGCTGCCCTGCAGCTTGAGCTGATAGTCCATCTGGGAGTCGATGTCCTGGAGGGAGGGGAGGGCCTGGCTGAAGGGGTGGCTATGGTACCAGCCCACCAGTGACAAACCTCGCAGGAACAGGTTCTGGCAGATCTGGGGCGAAGAGGGCACAAGTGGGTCAGTCACTCCGGCTTTACACAACACGGCAAGCTTTCCCGCTGCTTGTCCAGCTAGAACCACCTTACCTATTAGGGCTTTGGCTTGCAGGGGTTAACAGGAGTGGGATGACTCTCTGCCCCCAGTGACTGGTCTGTCCTTCAAGGTCCTGCTGATGAGCCAGGCCGGGCTGTGCTGTCAGCAGCAGTGAGTGCTCTGCAATACTACAAACCCACCCAGCTCGGGAATCGGACTAGAGACCACCGTTGCCAAAAATGTCACCTTGGAGCCATTTCAGCTCCCAGGAGAGCTCGCTTACCTCACCCCCACTCCAACGGAGGAGAGTCACTAGTTGTATCATTCGACATCCGATCAGCCCGGCTTTCAGCCCTCTCTAGGTTCAGGCAACGTGGCAGAGGAAACAACCTTTCTAGTCCCGTTTATCTGCCCTTAATCAGCCCCCACGCTCCCCACCCTCCAATACACTGTAGTTCATTGCTTATTCGTTACATTAAACTTCTGATAACTTGACCCTGACTTAACCAGTCACTATCACTTAAGTCATCATTGCTGTTGATATCTCAGCCACATTTATTTAGGCGTTTACACATCTGACTAACTCGGCACTCCTGATAACACGTCACTGAACTCTTTTGCCTTGGGAGTGACGAGTTATCAGGTTACCGTATCTTAACTTAAAAGGTGTGGGTAACATCGGCACCGAACAGCCAGGCAGGTCCCCAGGCTCCGACCCGGAAAAGTCCAGGATTCGGGGACTGGGCGGAATCCGGGAACGAGGGTATTGTTGTGGTTTTTTTTTCTTTACCTCTTCTTCCACTGCGGAGGCCGAATCCTTGTCCCCGAGACGAACCCGACACGGAAACGCACGGAGAATAGTCAACACTGTGAAAAGAGAGACTGTCACTGGAGTGTGGGGGGTGGGGGGAGGAAATCAAGACCTTCTCCCTCCAGTCCTGGCCGATATCCCACCCCTCATCAAAACATGTCAGTTACTTATTGTAATTTGAGGGGCGCAGGGGGGGGGTGGGAGGAGAGGGGAAACTAGGGCCACGATTAGCTCTGTTTCCCAAGCGACTCTTGAGTGAGTCAGAGACTTCGAGGTAACGAGATGCCCGATAAAATGCTGATAGTTTTATTCATTCACTCATTAAAAAAACACAAGCTCACGAAGTATTGTGACAGACTATTCAGACAGAATAGAAAGCCCCATCCCACCTCCTCCCCCCAAAAGGCCATTCATTCAGTGGATAAACCACAATACGTACACTGTGTGCTCGTGTCCCATCGTCCCCCCAGATACCCCACCACCTCGCTCCTCGTCAGGTGACAGTGGAAATCCTACAAGAAACAAAATTACACAACAGGAAAAAAAAACACCTTAATTGTCAGGAACAAATCCCCACAACAACAACAAGATTCCATTTATAGAGCGTCTTTCACGTTGGGAGGACGTCCCAAGGCGCTGGACAGTTGGGTCGGGACCCGAGCAGAGGGGAAATGATCAGGGTGAGGGGAGGGAAGGGCGGGAGCGAGGAGGAGGGGTAGATGGTCAAGAGCGGAGCTGAAGGCACGGCTGAAGAGAAAGGTCTTGAGACCGGCCTTGAAGGAGGAAAGGGAGGAGGCGGCGAAGGCACTGGGGGTGGAGTTCCAGAGCCTCGGGGCTGAGAGGCTGAAGGCCCGGCCACCGATGGTAGGGCGGTTGGGGCGGGGGAGGTGGAGCAGACCAGAGCCAGAGGAACGGAGGGTACGGGCAGGTACGTGGGGGGATAATAGGTCAGAGAGGTAGGAGGGAGCGAGGCCGTGAATGGCCTTGTAGGTGAGGATCTTGAATTCGATCCTCTGGGGGATGGGGAGCCAGTGGAGGCGAGCGAGGGTGGGAGTGATGTGGTCGCGGAGCCTGGTGCGGCAAACTGCCTCACACAATCCCTACTCTAACAAGGTGTCATATTGGGGTCACCCTGGCTGACGAGCACTCTCAACTCGGAGTTAACAGGGTTTGGGTTCAAGCCCCACGATAGGACTTGGAACTCACATAGCCTAAGTTGGCACTCAACAACAACAACACAATTACATTTATAGAGCGCCCTTCACGTCGGGAGGACGTCCCAAAGCACTGGTCAGTGCTCCATTGTTGGGAGGTGCCGTCCTTCAGATGAGTCATTACACCCAAGTCTCACCTGTGCCTGTTCAAGTGGATGTTAAAAAATCCCATGGCACTATTTCAAAAGTTTCTCCCAGTTTCCTGGCCAACAATTCTCCAGATAAAGTTAGTTGTTTGCAGGACTTTGCTGTGCGCAATTGGTCTCCCCCATTTGCCTACAATACATAGTCACTCCACTTCAGTGAATCCTGTGAAGTGCTTCGCCCACAAAATAGTCAATTTCACTTTATAGTATATTCTGTGAAGCGCTTTGAGACATCTCAACTATATAATGAGACGCTATATCAAATGCAAGGATTATTATTATTATTGGACGTCCTCCTGACATGAAAGGCGTTGTACCAAACATAAGGCTCATTATTATTAGGTGCATGAAGGAGAAGGGATTAGGAGGGGTGGAGGCTGAAGTGGAGTCTAAACACTGGCACAAAGGGCCCTAATGGCCTGTTTCCGTGCAGTAACATTCTGTGGTAACTATCTGAGTAATCCAGGTTCAGTCCCGCATCCGCTGATTTGGCCTATTTTTTCTTTTGCTCGATTTACGATTCAAAATGCTGCGGACTTGAAATTATCACAAAAAAATGCTGAGAGGTTTCCCCCGAGACACGCACACACACAGACACAGAGACACGCACACACAGACACGCACACACAGACACGCGCACACACAGACACGCACACACACAGACACGCACACACACACACAGACACGCACACACACACACAGACACGCACACACACAGACACGCACACACACAGACACGCGCACACACAGACACGCGCACACACAGACACGCACACACACAGACACGCGCACACACAGACACGCACACACACAAAAAAAGGAGAAACAAAGTGAGATTCTTCAGGGAAAACGATCACAGCAATTCCGGGCGCCAGACCTGCACGGAACGTCAGCTGATGGTTCTCCTTCAGGAACTTTCTTGGGACTCCACTTCACAAGCGGAGAAGGAATTTGCACGGGATGTATGGAACTCTCTGTATAATTTGTGTCAGGCACCCAGCTGATCACGGCATTGGGTTTCCACACCCGAACACGCTAGTTTGATCACATCGACAGGGTTTCCGCGTGTGTCAAGGCACCCGGTTGATCATGGTGATGGTTTTTCCCTGTGTGCCAGACACCTGGCTGATCACGGCGACAGGTTTCTGCGTGTGTCAGACACCCAGTCTGACCAAAGCCTTTCGCCGACTGACCAGTTTGCCTATCATCAGTTCAGATTTAGGGCTTCTGTAAATTAACCGCCCTGGTGTCAGAAACGATACAAGAGGCTCAACGGCACCAGCAAGACTGCAAAAGCCTTAACCGTAGAAAAACATTTGTTCGAGAAATGTAAAGGGGATTACGGCAGAGGTCAAAGCACTCGTGACTCGCAAATAACATGGACCCTTTCCACCGCCTCAGGTGTCCGCAGCTCAATTGGGTTGAATACTCTGTGAATACATCCTGTGAAGTGCTTTGAAACGCCTCAATGACGCAATAAGGCGCTATATCAAATACATGGATTATTATTATATTTCTATTTATTATTATACTCACCACCAGCAACAGGACATTGCTGGAAACTGCTACGTTGAAGGGCTGAAATCTATTCACCGAGGTAAAGGACATCAACTCGACCAGTGTGTGGGGATCTCTGTAACAAAAGGGAACGCAGAAGTGAAGTTTGCACATTAAAAGCGAAGCCGTAGCGTTCTGGAGTTGCTACACAAACACAAGTATCAAGTCCTGTAGCCCAGTGGTTAGACCCCTCGCCTCGCAAGCGAGAGATTTGGGTTCAATACCTGGGCAGAGTGAAATCTTAGGCAAGTTTCCTCACTCCACACACCTCTGTTTACCCAGAAATAAGTAGGAACCTGGTTGTTAATCGATTGATGGGTCGCTTTCTGGGGGTAATAATCCCAAATTTAGTCACTCAACCCACGACTGTTTGTGGGACGCTGCTGGGCGCAATTGTCTTCCGCGTTTCGTCCACAAAATACACAGTAAATCCACTTTACAGCGTATTCTGTGAAGCGCTTTGAGGCGTCTTGACGAGGTGATAAGGCACTGAATCAAAGGCAAGGATTATTATTATTATAACTAAGGCTGTACCCACCTGCCTGAGTCTCTGCTTCCGAGGCTGGAGTATCGAACAGGGCACCGGTCCTTGCTTTCCAGCTTCTTCCCATATTGCCCGTTGTCTTCTGATCAGAAAACACAAAGAGGAAACCGATGACAATCAATACTCCTCACACCTGATCCTGTGCCTACAAGGCTGCGCCCGGCGCGAAGGGTGCCAAATAAATGCAAGTTGTTGTTGTTGTTGTACAACAGCAAAACATCTCAACATGCTTCACGGCACCTACACTGTTAAATCGTTAAATCTTGTGTATTCTGTGGGCGATGGTGGGAGCCAGTTTGCGCACAGCAATGGACAGTATCGAAACTGAAAGTAACTGCAATGATTGTTTGTTTTGTGTAAAAGTATAGGTGTCGACTTCCTTCGAAGAAAAAAAGTCACGTTTAAAAAGGGTCAATAACCTTTTTATAATACACCCCGTTTTACCTTAAATAGTCGTATACGACCAGTTTTCTTTAAAAGACTAATAACATGACAAGCAGAGAGAGCATAAAGTCCGCACAGTCAATGTTTCAAAGGAAACCCAGTTCTGCAGCTTTAACCTTTAGTTTATGTGTGAGGAACACTGACTTTGTTCTGTGGAATATGATTTTTCCCAACTTTTCCCTTTGTTTTTTTTGGGTGTGGCTGGGGGGGGGAAATAATCCTAATGCCCTGAGAGGGTTCCTGTAGCCCTGATCTGTGCCAGCGTTAATAGAATAATAGTAATAATAATCCTTGCATTTGATATAGCGCTTTTCACGTCGGGAGGACGTCCCAAAGCGCTTCACAGAACACACTGTAAAGTGAATTGACTGTATATTTGTGGGCGAACGCGGCAGCCAATTGCGCACAGCAATGTCCCACAAACAGTCGTAGATTGAAAATGACCAATTTATTATTGTTTTTGGTTTTTGGAGGGATTATTATTATTAGGCTCTGTGTGGAGTAAGGAAACTTGCCCAAGGTTTCGCCCTCTGCCTGGAATTGAACTCAGGTCTCTCACTTGCAAAGCGAGTGCTCTAACCACTGAGCTACAGGACTCCGTTGGTTTCTTGCTGAAGATTATCACTTCCTCTGTAGTTTATCATGGATTAGAGGCACAGGTTACCTGTTAGACTGATGTCACGAGAGCTCTTAGCTTGAAGCTTTTTGATCTTTTGCTCCACTTTCTTGCCCGGGATTCCGTCCACTTTGGGAATTTTGCTCTCCCGGGTTTCGTAATCTTCCTCCTCGGCCAGTTCCTCATCTTCACCTTCGCTGGCCAGGATCTGCTGGGAAAACCCAACCAATTGCAAAAAGTCAACGACTTTACATTCGCACCGGCCTTCCACGTCAGGAGGACGTCTCAGAGCCCTCGACAGTGGTCTCCTTCTTCTCTGTAAATCGATTTCAAGATCCTCACACTCGTCTTTAAATCTCTTTATGCCCTGGCACCTCCCTATCTCTCCGACCTGCTTACTCCCCGATCCACCACCCGCTGCCTCCGCTCGACTGGCTCCTGGCCACCTGCTTGTCCCTTGTCTCCTCCGTTCCACCATCGGTTTCAGCCACTACTCCCCGAAACCCTCAATCCCTCTGCCTTGCCCCCTGCCCCCCATCATCAGATTTACGCCTGAAAACTTTCCTTTGCAACCGTGCCAACAGTCACCTCCGCCCTCCCTCCAGCTCAGTGCAGGCTCCAGCACTGTCAAGCGCTCTTGGGGGCGCGGTGTAAACACAAGTTGTAGTTGTTTTTGTAGTAAATGTCGAGGGTTCTACGATAAAGCACAAGGCCCGTCTCAAGTGCCCTCCTCTTCGACCGTGCCTTCGGTCACCCTCCTACCCCTACTCTCCCTGCCCACCACCCCTCCTGATCCTAACCTCCAGTTCGGGTCCAAATCTCTGACTGCCCAGCGCCTTGGGATGTCCTCCTGGCGTGAAAGGCACTGCGTAAATGTCACTTGTGGTTATAAAGGAAACATTAAACAGTGGAGCAGGAGCGTGATGGGCAGAACATTCGACTGGGGTCCTCACCATCTCGGGGCTCTGGAGTTGCGGACGCTGTTTCTTCAGCCACATGGTCTTGTACTGATCCAGCTTCTGGCCCTGGTACTTGACCGAGGCCCAGCCACACCCGGACTTCTTGGCCGGGTTGACCAGCTTCTTGCAGTGAGTGGCCCAGGCACTGGGAGAGTTGAAGACCTGGCTGGTCTCCTGCCAGCGAATCTTCCCATCAGGCAGCAAGTCTCCCACAAACTTCTTCCCCTGCAAACATCACAGCAAAAAAAACACTCCAGAGCAATCTTATAAAACGTCCCTCCATCCAAATAATACGTTTGAGACTCGTGAGGTTTCAGGTACTCAGTTTCCCCATCCAGCACTCCCACTACAGCACAGGTTAGAGACAGAGTGAAGCTCCCTCTACACTGTGCGTCCACAATCCCAGGTCAGGGATAGAGACACAGTAAAGCTCCCTCTACACTGTCCGCGCAGTATTAATGCCGTGAGTGGGTGATGGTGAAGGTGAGAGCTCAATCACACAGCGGGACAGGCCAGACAGGGAGAGTGACCAGAGACACACAGAGGAGCAGTCAGTGGAAGGGGTCAGAGGGGTGAGCTCCGCACCACCAACACATAAACCTTTTGCTGAAAGCGGGCGAGGAATGTGTCTTACCAGGTAGTGGATGGAGAGCAGCCCCTCCCCGGCCTGGATGACCTTGTCCTTGAGGAGCACTCGCAGTGTGATGCCCCGCCGGGTCAGCAGGGTTCCTCGCAGACCGTGGCCTTTTCCAGGCGTTCCGTTCTCAGTCTCCTCGAGCTCATCCTCCTCTTCTTCCTCTGCCCCGGGGGACAGTGGTTCTGAGGCTACACCGAGGGGTGGGGGGGGGTTGGAGTTGCAGGGTAGAGAGAGAGAGAGAGAGAGAACTTTGAGCTCATAGTCCAGACTCACATTCTAATGCACTGCTTCAGCAGATGAGACATCCTTCAGATGAGATGTTAAACCAAGGCCCTGTCCACCTATTTAAGTCGACGTTAAAGATCCCGCAGAGCTATTCAAAAAGAGGAGAAGGTTTCTCTCTCCTGGTGTCCTGGCCAACGACCCCCCCCCAGGTATATATTTAAAAAAATGGTCACTCCCATCATGGAACATTGCTGTGCCCGAATTGGCTGCCGTGTTTGCCCACAAAACCCAGACCTCGGAGTGTGGACGCACAGTGTAGAGGGAGCTTTACTATGTCTCCAAACATACAGTAGAAATCCTGTGAAGTGCTTCGAGATATCCTCCCGATGCCAAAAATGCGATACCAAATGTCAGGATTATTATTAATTATTATTATTAAAGACATCCAATAACATCCACCAAACTGGGGCCGATAGATTAACAGTGCATTAATAATAATCAATCAATAATAATAATAATCCTTACATTTGGAATAGTGCCTTTCAAATCAGGACACATCAAAGCGCTTCACAGGATTTACTGTGTATTTGGAGTCAAATTCAGCAGCCAATTTGCCTAATGTGTGGAGTCCTGTGGCTCAGTGGTTAGAGCACTCGCTTTGCAAGTGAGAGACCTGAGTTCAATTCCAGGCAGAGGGCGAAACCTCGGGCAAGTTTCCTTACTCCACACAGAGCCTAATAATAATCCCTCCAAAACAAAACAATAATAAATTGGTCATTTTCAATCTACGACTGTTTGTGGGACATTGCTGTGCGCAATTGGCTTCCGCGTTCGCCCACAAATATACAGTCAATTCACTTTACAGTGTGTTCTGTGAAGCGCTTTGGGACGTCCTCCCGACGTGAAAAGCGCTATATCAAATGCAAGATTATTATTATTATTATTATTATAAATTCAGCAGCCAATTTGCCTACAGCAACGACCCACAAACAGCCATGAAGCGAATGACCAATCTTTTATTTAATGACGCAGACGCCAGCTTTCGTTAGGTTGTCACCAAAGGTAAGTAGGCACCGGGTGTTTATACAGCGAGCACCTGAACCACACAGTCACGCTCTCAATCCTCAGTCTGTGCTGAGCCAGAGGACTGCAGTCAGGGCAAGCAGGTGGGGGCTAGAGATAGCCTCAGTGGCCCTGGGCTGAGGGTCGGAGTGAGAAAATCGGCCAAGGTTCCCACTCCCGATCACAGACTAGTGAGGGCATTGCATGTGTAGTTAATCATAATCTGCTAATTGTAGCATTCGTCTACAAATACACAGTCACTACACTTCACAGTAAAAATCCTGTGAAGCTCTTTGAGTCGTCTCGATGACGTGATAAGGGGGGGTTAGTTTGGCGCAGATTGTTGGGGGGGGTGTGGGGTCTCTCTCTCTCTCTCTGTGTTATTGCCCTCTCTGCTGTTCACCACTCCACACATCCCCTCTCTCTCTCTCTCTCTCTCTGTGCCTCCCATCTCTTT